TAGAAGCTGCATATAAAATAACTGAAGAAAGTTCAGAAATAACTCAAATAATTATGGCAGAACAAATTTGCAAGGAAAGGGTTAAGGAAATAACAAAGGTATATGATTATTGGGGATATCCTAAAATCATCAAAGAATTTAAAGAAATTTTGAAAAACAAAGAATTGATACTTGAAAAAATACAGGAACAAAAGAACAAATGGAAACGATATTACCCAGAAAAGTTTACAGAATATTGTAAAAGGAATGGAAATCTTGATCATGTGATCGGAAAAAAAGATAATGATCATTAATCAAATAATGAATCATTAATTAATTTTAAGAAGAAAACTGTATTAATAAATTGACATTAAAAAAATCAAGGAAAAGGAATTTTGAATCAAATAAACATATGATAATTTTTGTGAAATTTTTATAAAGGAAAGAAGGGAAATAAAAAATAATTAAATCGAAAAAACTATAAAAATACTATTAGATAATCCCAAACTTTTGTAAACTACCGTATATAGTACTGGTATTTTTTAATATTTTATTATTTTGGGTATTGTAAGGTTTTTTAAGTTAAGTGATAATTATTAATTTTTTTTTTTAAGTATTACTTATTTATTTATTTATTTATAATGATTTGTTTGTTCTTGTTTATGTAAACAAGGTATTTATCTGTTAATTGTAAGCTTAGTTACTATTTTTAGATCTATTGTATTATTGATAGCTACTATTACATATGGATATAAAGCATAAACTCATAAATAAGTTATTTATTAAATATATAAGTGAGTTGATATTCAAGCTGACAGATATAATATATTTATATTATATAATTTAGATATAAAGTGTTGTTGTATTGTTTATGTCACTTTCTATTATTAAGTAATTAAGGCTTGGATAATTTCCTAAATGTTGGAAACTCTGAACTTTAACTAATTTATTGACTAAAGTTATTGACAACAGTACTTCTTTTATTGTCAAAAAAAATATAATATGTATTGACCTGATTAAGAACTTTGTGAATTTGAGGTTGGAACTTTAGTGAGCTTACTATAAATCAGTTTTTTTAGAGTTTTCTTTTCTCTGTAATGAAAAACTATACTGTAATAGTTTTTCTATAATACTTATATTTTAATTGTTATTATAAAGAAGTATAGTATTTTGAAGCTTTGTAATAATCTATTATTGTTTTTAGACAAAAGAAAATTTTAAGAAAACTGGAAATCAGTGAAAAGAATTTTTTGAAGATATATAATAATATTATAATTATAGATTAATATATACTGTATATATATATATTTAAATTAAATTTTCTAAAATCAAACTATTAAAAAAAATTAAAATTTAATATTATTAAAAATTATAAATATCTTTTTTTATATTTTTTAAATAAATATATATACATATTATTATATATACTGTAGATTTTTATTTTTATTTAAAAAATTTTAAAATTAAAATATAAATTTAAAATAGAAAAAAATTAAAAAATATATTAGTCAAATAAATAAAAATTATTATTTTTAGTAATCTATTAAAATAATTTAAAATTTTTATAATTTTATATTATTTATTGATTTTTATTTATGAAATTTAAAGATTCATAAATTAGTAATACAATATATTATTTCCTAGTCATTATATAAAGTTTTAGAATTAAAATTTGAAAAGAAGCTAATAATCCAACTACATATTGGTTAAATGACACCTCTCTTTTTTTTCTTTTTGTAATTTTTATATTTTAGTAATTTAATAAAATAATTGATAAAAACAATTTATTAATAATGTTGTAGAGACTAGAAGGGTTTATATTTAAAGTTTTATGCAAGCAACATATAATTTATAATGTCACACTTAGAGATTTTTTATATATAACAAATTATTTAGATTTGTTATAAAAGTTTGGCTGTAGTATACAGTATATAATACAGCTCGAATAAATATGTACTTTTACATTCATTTTATTAATAAACTCATAATCTAGCCTGACTACAGATTATAAGAATAAAATGTTTTGATTACTATAAAACTACAATACATTCATTTGATTTTTGAAAAAAATTGTGAAAAAAATAGCTTTAAATAATATTATACAGTATATTACTGCAGGCTACCAGCGAGTCGGTCATCAATCCCTAGATGCTTGCTTAACTGTCCTGAGGCAAAAAAGGTCACCCAAACCAAACAAAAAGAGGTTTGGTAGATTCGATTGAGTTCTTATTGTAACGCATCTAGCATATACTCAACCTAGAACGCACCGATTATTACAAGCTAAAAGTTTATCTATCTTTATTTTCGAAGCTTTGCGCTCATTTTTTACATGTTTTGTGTCATATTTATACATTATGAAGTCTGCTTACTGATTATTTTTTGATTTTTGCATTTCTTGTTTTAGCCCATAGTTCTCACCTCTATTGTTCTCTCTTTTTTTCATTCCATTGTTCTCACTTGCTATTGTTTTCTCTTTTTTTTTTAGTTTATGTTCAGATCGTCTCAGAGCACTTAACCGTGTCTTCTTTTCTTGTGGTGTGAGGTCACAGCTCTTTAAAATTTTTAAGTCTCAATATATTGGTTTATTTTAATTCTTTATTCCTAATTTATTTTTAGAATTGTATTGTTTTAATTATTATTATTATTTTTTATAAATATAAATAAAATATTTGTGCCATATTCTAATAAAGTTTAGTTTTATTAAATAAATTGTTGATATAAATCTAATTTCTTAAAATCATAAGTTTTTTATAGAAAAACTATTAAAAGTGTTTACATGATCATATTATAATCTATTTACTCATGAAACATAATGACTTAGTGATCTATACAATATATAATATAATTAATAGAGACAAGTTTAGATGTCAGGAATGAACTATAGTAAATAAATATTCATCAAATCTTTTATCCTATTTCCTAAATAAATTTCCAAAAATTTTTTTTAAACAATGCACAAAAAAATAACAAAATAAGAAAAAAACGAAAAAAAAAGAAATAAAGAGAGAAATAAATAAACAAAGGAGTCGTATCTTATGAACTGCATATAAAAAGGTACGCACATTCATCATATTGAAAAATAAATACGATTTTGTATACTTAACAATATTGCCTTTTTTGCGGAGCTTTTCAATTTTATACTTTACCATTTTCACTAATAAATGCCTACGAAATATCACATATTGTTAATATATTGTTTTCTAAAGGTTATGAAAGCGTTTTAAATTTATACACTGGGCGTGCGTGTTTTCGATCATTTCATGTGATTTTCCAATTTTGACTCTATTTTTTTTTTTTAACGTTTTAATAGAATTTATACAGTATTAAAAAAATGATCATTTAATGCAAAGATAAGGTCTTAGTGATAATTGAAATCTCAACATATTTTTATTTCATTTCCATGAGTACATTATGTCAAACTCTTAAAATTCAAACATCGCAAGTTCTTTTGTTGCTTTTTCGGACCCCTTTTCCGCAGCCTTCATTAAATATTGTTTGTATTTGTCATTGTCAATAAGATATCCATAATCACTATATTCACCCGTCAAATATATCCGGGAAATATCGTATAAAGCATCGGGATACTCCGCTTCTGCTGCCTGCTTCAGATATTCTATATATTTCCCACGATCTTCCTTATAACCGTGTTCTCCATTTAAAAACATCTCCGCAACCATATATAATGCAGCAGGATATTTTTTAGCCATGGCAGCTATTTTAAGATACTTTATACCTTCTTCCTTATAATAATTGGCTCCTTTGAGACAGACATACGCATACATATACTGGCCTTCTACACAACCACCGATAGCCGATCTTTTAAATAATTGAAAGGCTTGAAATTCATCATATTCGATTTCATAAGTTCCTTCGAAGAGATAAATGCCCGCATAATATGAGGCCAATGGGAAAGTTTTAGGGTCATTTCCATGTGCTAACTTCAGGAAATGGCGATATGCTTTCTTGTATTGTTTCGTTTCATGGAGTATTTTTACTTCTTCTATGTCCATCAATTGATCATCCAAGTCATTCGATTCAGATAAAGAAGTTTCGCTTCTGATTGGTTTTTTACATCTCATTTTTCCAGTCAGGCTCACCTTTTCAAGGTACTTACGTACTGTTTCGATTTCTGGCCGTTTCCTAGGGTTTTCATCCCAAGCCTGTTCAACAATATACTTATATTGTTCTGGTGTATCATCTGAAAATGGGGTGGGACGTTCATTTTTTTTAACTTTATCACCCGCTTTTATAGGATTATTTATCTCCTCGAACGGAATCTTATGCGTAGAAATTTCCCAGAGAAGAATCGAAAAACTAAAATTATACAAAATATTATTAGTCGTCTCAAGTACAATTCAATATTTATTCCTCCTCATTATACTATACCTGTATACTTCACATTTTTCAGTATATGCTTGGTCCGGAAATCTTAATTTTTCTGGCGCGGTCCATCTGGAAATTCAAAAAAAAACTTTATTAAATTAAAATATGAAAAATAAATAGAAACTTGATTTTTTTAAAACAATGATGATGACCTTAAAGATTCAAGAGGCATTTGACTCGATTTATCTCCGACTTTTCGACTCAACTCGAAATTAGTAAGCTTCGCATTTTTAAATTCATTAAGCAATATATTTTTACTAAAGTATCAAGAAAAGATTTTTTTTTTTTTATTGTCAATTACAATTTCTAATATGATGTGATGTTAATCAAGAATAAATACCTTTTGACATCGCGATGATAAACATTGGCTGCGTTACAAAATTCAAGACCCAGGGCAATCTGTTTTGCGATCTCCAGTTTAGTCGACCATTCAATTTGTTTGTTTTCGATTAAATAATCTCGAAGGTTTCCATATTTCATCCATTTAGTAACTACAAAGAGATGCTTCATTCCATCGGCCTCACCTTCATAAACACCATAACTAAAATATCTAGCGAATTAATTCTAGTTAACAACGAGAAACAGAGTATACAGAAAATGTACTTGCAATTTTTCGATATGATTGCAGGTGCTAAGTAAACTAATAATCTTTGCTTGTTTTGCAATATTTCTTAGTTGAAGATCAAGATTTAAATCAGGTGGACTTGGCAGCTTTTTTACTGCAACGGAGTCTCCAATGTATACTTGTTTTTCAATATTCTTTCTTATTTCGGGATTACTGCTTTTATAGAAGCGAGTCGGATCGAGCTTTAAACTTTCAATATCCTTATCTGTAACGTTGTTTCCTTTCTGTGTAAGCATAATTTGCAATGCAGCTTCCATGTTAGCAAGACGTTTGTCCGTTTTATCAAAGCCATCGGTAACTTTGTAATTAATATCGGTAATTACGCCGTTGGTATCAGTAATAACGTTATTTATATTAGTAACCATGTTATTTGTATCAATAACAACAGTAGACAGAAAATCTTTAGTGGCTTCATTTAGTTTGTTGAATAAAATATCATTTGCAGCCGCGAACTTAAGTAAAAAATAATATTAATCAAAAACAAAAAACAAATGATTGTAATAAAATTTCAATCAATATCATACATCTTCTGCCTTCGCCATCTGCTTGAACCAATTTTTAAATCTTTCGTTGAATTCTCCAGGCTTGTCGACTTCAATTGTATATTTTTCTATTTCCTCTAACACTTCTCGTAATTTCTCGACTGATTTTTCGTTTTGCAACGGAACTTTGGCTTTGGCAATAATATTTAAACTGTCTTGTACACGAGTAGCAATGTATTCACATGCCTTTTGATTATGACGAGCCTTCTTTGCTCGGTTAATGATACGTTGAGCGATATCGGCTATCGCGGTTCCAATTATTGGTATAACACTGCATACTCCAACTAAAGTGACTTCAACACCTTCTTCTAATATTTCGGCCATTTTGTTGGATGTGAGGAGAGGCAAAGGTGCATATTATATTTATAGACGCACAAAAAACTTTTTGGAATTTGTGAAAGCATTATGTGTGAAAAAAAAAACGCCGACATGCATGTTTTCCGTTTGACAACTGCAATTAGCCGTAACACAATTTTTTCCTCTATTCAAGTTATATTTTAACTAGAGCGACTTAATTACGTAAAGGCTATATTCATAGTAACATACAGTAGCGGCCAAATGTTACGTATCACCTTAGTTAATATTTTTAATTTTTATATAAAGTTATAAATTTATGCTTATTAACTAACAGGTGGCTCAAAATTGTTTGGAATTAGTTACTATGTTTTTAATGATTTTATTACAAATATTAATTGACAATTATAATCCAAAGTTACAAAATTTATATCTAATATTGTCTAATTCTCTATTTATTTATTTTTTATTTTTATTTATTAGTTTTTTTTTTTTTTTTTTTAATCCGAAAATTATCTCTATATTTGATAGAAACAATGTTACAGATAAGGATATTGAAAGTTTAAAGCTCGATCCGACTCGCTTCTATAAAAGCAGTAATCCCGAAATAAGAA